ACTCGACCGAGAGAAACGGCGAAGTAATTGGCCGACCCGACCCAATTACGATACCGACCCACCGTCCCCACAGTCCTGTGGCAGCATCAGCGACGGCTGCGTGCGGGCGGCGCTGGCCACTCCAGCTGCCACCAGCGAGGCTATTCGAGGATTCCCTCTGCAGACTGGGACGAGACGGGCACGGCCGAGCTTATCTATAGAGCAGAGAGATGAGGAGGATGAAGGGGAGGATGAGGAGGAGGAGGGGAGGAGGAGGGGGGGAGGAGGAAGAGAAGGAGCAGGAGGAAGAGGAAGAGGAGGAGGAGAGATAAAGAGAAAGAGGAGGAGGAGGAGGGAGGAGGAGGAGGGAGGAGGAGGAGGAGGAGGAGGAGGAGGAGGAGGAGGAGGAGGAGGAGGAGGAGGAGGAGGAGGAGGAGGAGGAGGAGGAGTATGGGTACCCTGAGAAAAGAAGAGGGCAGGCGGGCACGAACACGAACGAGAAGAGGGCAGAAGAGTTAGTCTCTACCGCCGTGCTCTGGCCTAGCTCCCCTACCTGTATAGTAATGCGAGCGCAGCGCGGCGTGAGGCCACCAGGTCTTCTTGCGAGACAGTCGCCGTGCGCGCACTGGCAGTAGATTTCATCTTTCTGTCAATATGGAATACCAGTGCGATCCTTGAGACTGTGGACGACAAAGACATGGGGCTGGTGGGGTCAGCTGCATCTGCTGCGGCAGGGCCCAGCCCCCATGCCGTCAGCGTTGATTGGACGAGGGGGAAGTCAGGGAGCCAGAGGAGCCTCGAGAGGGCGGAGCAGGAGAGGTAATGCGGGAATGAGTCAGGTGCGTCCGTGCATCCGAACGCGCACTTGCGCTGCTGTAGGATGTGCATTCTAGCCGTGGTAGTCGAACCACCGCTGGGGGTCTTGAGTGTGGCCCAGCGCCAGCTCGGGCGCAATTGCTTGAGAGCGGCGGCCAGTGCCTCCCAGCGCTTCTGTAGCGCTCCAGGTTCCAGGGGCGCTGGAAGGCCCCAGGCAAGGAGGCGCTCGGCAAGCGTGACCGTGAAAGGTGGCTTAGAAGTCTGGTCGCGTAGCTGGACTGTATACATGCGTTGGAACTGGGCTCGGCGGGGCGGGTTCGCGGCTGCCGCATCTCTCAGCTCACTGTGAGCAGCGCGGGCGGCAGCAGTAATCGACTGGCTAGAGAAAGGCAACTGAGCTTCGTGGCGCATGAGAAACCGGCAGTGCTGTACGATGGCTGTCTGGGAAGACCACAATGGTGGTGACCATGCACCGGCCTGCCAGCGGGGAGTGTTCTGTAGCGTTGTTTCCTCCCGCGATAGGTCAGCAAGGCGATCGGCGTAAATCTCCCAGGGGCCTGCAAGCGTCACTGCCGCAGACCGGCGGCAGATGCGACAGCTAGAATTTGAACGGATTGAATGACAGGTGGCGGGCTCCAAGTCGCCATGGCAATCAGGTCAACCATGCGAAAAGGGTTCGGTGGCATGCTAAGCATCTGGTGGAAAATATGCAGTTCGCGGCGAGCGATGGAGGAATCAAGGGGGGAGAACTGCGAAACATAGCTCAGAGTAGACAGCGCTGATATATTGCATAAGCGACC